GACTCTCATAAACAACCCAACTATATTCATACACAAATGGCTACTGCAGTTCCTGCTTTCATTTCTTCTGCATAGATACAGAAAGAGAACTGCTGTGTCATACAGCTAACTGACTTGTTGAGGAATCACTGTGCAGCTTCCCATAGTGGCTGGAGCTCTTCCTATTCCCACAAAAAACACACAAGCCTTCAATTTACCACCTATTTCCTATTTTTACTTAGTGTGTGCACGCATGTGTATGTGTGTGGTGAGTGTGATATTTATTCTTGTTAGTGTGTGTACGTGTATGTGTGCAGGCCAGAGGTTGACCTGGGCATCTTTCTTCCATGGCTCTCCATCTTTATTTTTTGAGACATGGTCTCTCAGTGAACTTGAAGCCAACATGGCTAGGCTGGCTGACCAATGGGCTTCAGAGTCTCCCGTCTCCACCTCACACACCCAGGCTTCTATCACCATACCCAGCCTTTGCATGGGTTCTGGGGCTCTGGTCCTCATGCTGCAATGGGGGGCATTTTGCTGCCTGAGCCATCACCCAGGCTATTTCCTATTTTTAATGCTCATTCAGCAAGTAGAGTAGTGTTGTGCTGAGACTTCTAATCTGTACTTTCCCTGATATATCATTTTAGGTACTTTTGGTCATTCGTATATTCTTTGGAGAAATACTGGTCAAGTACTCCGTCCACTTTCGACCTGGCTGCTTTTGTTACTGAGTTGTAGAGTTCCTCTGCAGTCTAAGTCAACTATATCAACCCTAACTTTAAAACACAAGACTTCGGGTGTAGTGGGGCACTCCTTTAATCCCAGCCTTTACGAGGCAGAGGCAAATGGATTTCTGTGAGTTCAAGAGAAGCCTGGAATACACAGTGAGTTCCAGAACAGCTAGGGATATAGAGAGAGACCCTGTCTAGGAAGGAAGGGAGGAAGGAAGGAAGGAAGGAAGGAAGGAAGGAAGGAAGGAAGGAAGGAAGGAAGGAAGGAAGGGAGGGAGGGAGGGAGGGAGGGTTAAATTCAGAAGAGATCTTTGTTAGAAGCATCCTTATTTTTTTTCTTTTAAATCACAGAAGCTGTCAGACATGAGTAGGATTTGACTGATGGCCATCAGACCCTTCTTCCCAGCAGCTGACAGATGCGATTACCCAGAGTAGTGCTTGGACCAGTGCCCTAGGCTGAGCAAGGACAGAGGAGGATGGGAACTGCTATGGTCAATCTTTCCTGTTCCCAGGTTGAGATGGGGATGGTCAGGAAGGAACACCAGGGCCTCCTCCACTCCTGAAGTCTCACCAGGGACAGCCACTTAAGCAGCACCCATTTTCATAAAAATTACATAAGCTGCCAATCAAGTAGTCACTTCTCCTGCAATTCTGTAAGCTGTCAATCAAGTTGTTTTAAAACCCTATGGCTGCCAAGACTCCAATCTAGCCACCATCTCCTGTAGGAGACCCAAGCCAGACCTAGTCACTCCACAGGGACTTGGTTCTCGACAAGAGGAACCACACAACTGTCAAAGCCACTAACCCATCGAAGGCTTTACTTGGGGATGCTTGGATTCTTGAGGCCATGGCAGCATCAAGGGTTGCCCTCCAGATAGCCAAGTCCATGGCTACTACTCTGACCTCATCACATGGGATCTCGTAGCAGCAAATCCTCAACCCAGTCAGGGAGAAGCTCTGCCCCAACCCTGGACAGCTAGTGAGCTTGTGAGACTGACTGGCTAGCGAAGAAAGCCTGTTCTCTCCCTCTCTAGCAGCAGTCTGGGAAACCTGGCTCCCCCGTGCTGTCCCTGCATGCTGCAGTGTAGGCCCCAAGAATCTTCCAAGCAGGAGTCTTATTGCCCAGGAGCAGAGTGAGCTGAGCTGACTGCATGAAGAACAGGTGACTCCCAGGGCTGCCGGCTCCCACACCCAGCAGCACTTAGCAGGTGGCAGAAGAGTCTTCTGGCCAGGAACGGAGACTGAGAAAAGATGAAGGACTGGGGAAGTGCGGGGAAGGTGACAGGCAGTGCAGAGCAGACTGCAGGTCAAAAGCTGTGGAGAGCAAGAACAGAAACGACAAAAGGCGAGAGAACAGAGCTGGGACTGCGGAAGGGCTGCGAGCCTCCACTGCTGGGAAAGTTTAAAGATTGCTAGCTGCTGCTGCCGAGAAAAATCTCAGAGAAGTAACACTGAGAGCCGAGGGTCCCGCGCCATAGGCTAAGAGCTGTCGCACAGGACAGTGGGCACTAGGCCACTCACCTAAAGCTATAACACTCAGAATGAAGGGTGCTAGGCACCCCAAGCTCAGAGCAGCTGACCCAAAGGGAACCAGTTACACTTGGCCCGTTCTCAATTTCCATCTGATCAGAGCAGAAGAACCCTGGGCCTCAACAGACTGGTGACGGATGCCCTCTCTCGATGACAACAGGAGAAAGTCAGCAGGGCCCAGAAGACAAGCAGCCCGCACTCCCAACCAGATGGACTTGACCACTGAACCAACTTTTTTCTCAAGTCTCCCTAAAACATTTACCAAGCTACACCATATTCTGGGACACAACAGGAGGCAAATCTAAAACAATTCAAATTAAGGCCTGGCTCAGTTGGCAGAGTGCAGACTCAGCTCAAATGAAGCCCTAGGTGTGGTCCCATGCATCACATAAACCCAGTGTGGCAGGGCACTCCCGTAATCCAGCACTGGAGAAGTAGAAGCAGGAAAGTGAGTTCAAGGTTCCTCTGCCACACAGCAAGTCAAAGCCAGTCTGGGCTACTTGAGACCCGGTCTAAAAATAATAAAATGGAAAGCAATTGTGATGGTTTGTCAACTAGGCAGACACTCTGGTCACCTAGGAGACATGCCCCTGAGCACGCCTGTGAGGGATTACCTAGATTCACTTAACTGAGGTGGGGCTTCCTACCTCAACTGTGGGCAGCACCGTAAGCTGAAGTCCCAGACAGAATCAAAAGGAGAAAATGAGCTGAGCACAGCATCCATCTCTCTGCTTCCTGATAACAACGCGCACGACGAGCCACCCCAAGCTCCTGCCACCATCACATCCCTACCCACCTCAAGCTCCTGTCCCCAACATGTCCCTACAAGAACGGTAAGTATCCTGAACTCAGATTGGACCCCTTCTCCTTTCAGCTGCTCGTGTCCAGGTATTTCAGCACGGAGACAAGAAAAGCACCAACACAGGAAGCCTCCGTTCACAGAAACATCAATGAGAAGAAGCTGCTGTTCATGGGCAGTAGGATGAACTAGCAGCACAATCCTGTCTGCTCCTCCTGCTGCTTGTGGAACCTGCTGAGACACCTCACCGTGGGAGTTAAGGTATTCACGGGGCTTCAATGTGCAGGCCTACCCTGCTGAAGTTAGCTGTCTTGAAGTTCACAGCGGAGACTCTCCCTTCCCTGGCCCAACCTAAGCCCCAGGGTCTCACTTGTCAGCACCAGCTCAATCAAGGCAAACCTGTTTGATATTCCCTGTCTTCCAGACAGCCAGGGGAAGCGAGAATGGAGGGAGAGATATGTGGATCATGCCTAAAGACTGTGGCCATCACTGAAATCTGTGTTCACAGGGCAAGCTGGGTGGGGACAGGTTACAACTTTCTGGAAACTCCAGATCCCAAGAGGAAACTTCTAACACAACTCCCCCACAATAGCAATATAACTGCACTAATTCAGGTTTCCAATGACCTCATCGGTCAGTCTGGAAAACCCCACTACTACTAGCCAGCAGTGTCCAGGAATGGCCCAAGTATCTATTTACCTCAAAACCCTTTAATGGAACATTAGCTTATGTCAAAGAAATCAGCAAAAGGCACCAAGAATCTTGGGTAACCATCATTTCCAAGCTCCAGTGGCCCGGAAAACCTACAAATTTGCATTAAGATCAGAATCACCCAATGTGTGTATTAAAAACAGACTCCTGGGGTCCCCTCCAGATAACATCACAAGACTCTAGAAATGGGGCTCTGCATTTTCAACAAAAATTATCAAATATCATTCTTAAACTCCAACACATTAGGGCAACTGGCGCATCTGTAAGGCAGTATTAAGAGTTAAATGTATTTGTTTTGAAAAGAGACAAGAGGGTTAAAAATCCTAACTCAGCTAGCCACTCACTGGTTGACACCAGCCAAATGACCTAACATCTCAACAACTCCGTAAACTGGGATCGCCAGCCACTCAGAGGTGTTCTCTGTGTCCAGTATGTTCAAAACACCCCAAGGACAGAACCCAGTACAGGACAGCCACACAAGCAATCACAACTACTGCTTGGCAGGACAGCAACAGAAAACCGCCCCCGTGAAGCAGCCCCCATCATGGGTTCTACGGAGGGGAAATTACTGAGGCACTAGGCCAGATTTCCAAGGTAATCTTAGGGGAAAAAAAGGTTTTTCTGGGCACTATGATGGCCAAGAACAAAGACTCACTTCAGAATTCAGTATTGCACCCAGCAGCCCAGATCAGGTCCCTCCCTGAGCCCCAACCAATAAGCGTCCTTCCTAAGTCCCTATGTCACCATCATCTCCAGTTTTAGGGCTGACAGTCACTAAATGTGGGAGTCCACATTTTGGGTGGACTCCTGGATAGGAGGCAGGGAGCAATGAAGGAGACCTGGGACTCTGTGAGGCTCCCTGGCTCAAGGTGAGCAATCCCAGGATGAGAGACAAGGTATATCCTTGGGAAACGCCTTCCCCCACCCGAAAAGTGGAAGAACACCCCTAACCGGCTGTGAGGTGGGAAACAAAGGAGAACCAGGCACATGCTGGGACCATACATCGCTGTCCTTTGCACCTGAAAGGCTCTGGAACAAGGACAGTTCCGCTACGCTGGGACTGTCGGGGGTCAGAAGAAATGGGAAGAACGGAACTCCAACCTCTTGCTATTTTGGGGAAAGACACAGGCCACCAAGTCAAAGGCCAGAGTCCCTCCAACCCCACTACGCCGCTAGGGCAAGTCAGATCACACGGGCCTCAGTTTCCCCATCCGTAGAAAGGGCAAAGTGGCCCTTAATGACACACTGACCACAAGATGCTCCTATAGAGGGTGAAGGGCTGCGTGGCGTTAGCGGATAGGTGGGAGGGGGCGGAGTTGAGGCGACCGGAGAGGACAGCCTCCCACCCTCCAGCCCTCCCACCGCGATGCAGGGGCGCAGGCCCGCGGGGAGTCACGCGCCCATTGCGCCCAATCGCCGGCCTCCGCCAGGCAGGCGGGTGGCGGAGGGGGCCTCTGGCTCGCCGGCAACGCCTCCAGCACCGTCCGCCGCTGCTCACCAGCGCCCGGGACCCTCCCCAGCGGCGCTCACCTGCCGGGGCCGCCGCCACCGCGGGCAATCAGTCGCCGCCCTCACTTCCGGGATCCGCGAGCCCCGCCCCCGCCGGATGTGACTCCCTCCCGAGTCCGCGCCGGGAGCCGGCCGCGCTGGCCCTCCGCCGTGCCTCAGGCGTCCCGCCTCGTGGGCCTCCGAGCTGCTGAGATACCGGCTCTTAGACGCTGACGGCAGCCGGGAGCCACACCCGCGGAGAGCCACCCGGCCCCGCCCGCGCGGGAAGGCCCCGCCCCCACGGTCGGACTCCGCCCATAGCGAGTACGCCTGCGCAGACTTGCAGGCATGCCTTTCAAACCGCTTTGAGTGTCCTGAGAGCTAAATCTTGGAATCTCCAAAGGGAGGCCCAGACGGGCAACTTGTGCTGCGGCGCCCCTGGCCTGCACCCACACACTTATTTTCATAGTTTGGCCCCAGGATTAGAAGGACTGCGGTCCCGAGTGTCCCCTTCAGACTCTGCAAACAGCTGAGTCGGTTTCCTAAAAGTCACCCTTTGTCAGAATCCTAGATTACACTTTAGTCCTCTGTAGATGAGTGGCTCTGTATAAAAAACATCGGACCTGATTCATCCTCACTCCCCCAAAGTGATAAGCCCCAGGACGGCATGGGAACAAACCAGCCAGCCTGAAAAGTGAACGCCATTCCCCATTGCCCTCTCGGCAGTCGTGGTGATGGGGACCCTGGTAGAAAAACTTCCAGCCTAAGAAAACCATGACACCTGGATGCCACGCTTTGCTATACATTAGACCTTCGTTGCTAGTGTCAGAGACAAGCACAAACTGGCTTCTGCAAAATGCGATTTGCTGGGTCATACTAAGGGGGAAAGTCCAGAGGCCCCCCTGACAACAGGCTCAGTGTAGCCCAAAGCCTCCTGCTCCTTCACTTGAACCTTAGTTCTGTCCACACAAAACAGCGCTCATCTCAAAGGGAATGAAAGACATTTTGTTCTGAGCCAAGTAAGAGTGACCATGGCTTGGGACACAGAGTCAGGGTGCCTTAATTAACATCCTGCAAAGTAGAAGAAGCACTTTCACGAAGTGAAACAACAAAAAGCAAGTCATATATCAAGGCATTTTTCAAATACAGTTCTGGGAACATCGCATCAGTGGGTTACAGCAAATTAGGGGAACTCTCTGCTTGGGTCTGAGACGCTGTTGGATGCATTTTCACTTTCCACTCGGTGGAGCTAGGGGTCTGCTGGGTTAACGAACTACAAAAGGTTTTACCTGACCATCACAAGGATGTGAGATCAGGCACAGAGGTGAACAATGGCTATCAAGGAGACTAGAGATAATTCTGAGACAATTTGACCCTCTGCCTGCAGCATTCCAACTCTGCAACCAGGAAGCTCCAGTCACTCATCAGCCTTATAAACACAGTGGTAGCCCCCCTTTTTGTTTTAAGGCAACCTCAGTTTCACATCTTTTTCTCTTTTGTGCCATCGCATTTTCAACAGGAGCTCCCAAATTTGTTGTTTCGGATTCTAGATTTAAGATAATCCTCATTGTTCCCACTGGGCAGAGCACCCTCCCCTTCACTACTTCATGGGCTGCCCGGTCATGTAATCCACCTTCCTCGGTCACTTTTTTTTTTTTTTTTTTTTTTTGAGACAGGCTTTCCAAGGTCTCAGGTAGTCCATGCTGTCCTAGAACTCTCAAAGACAAAGTAGCCAAGAATGACCTCCTGCCTCTGCCTGCCAAGTGCTAAGATTACAGGCGTGCACTGCCATGTACACAGTGTTATGCCATGCCAGAAATAGAAGCCAGGGCCTCATACATGCTAGGCAAGCACTTACCAGCTGAACCACATCCCCAGCCTGGAGCACAGTTACTGCAGAAGGAATCAGTACAGAAGACAGTCAGCTACCTATGCGAGGCACTGCCCACTCTTGGGTGCCAGCCAACCTGATAGGGACTCAATGCTATTTGTTTTGCAAATGTCTCATGCGGTCAGCGTGAGGGCTGTTTACAGCAGCTTCCAGAAAGCCAGGCTGATGCTGTTTCTCAGGGGCAGGAGGGCCTGCCAGGGCAGGTGAGCTTGGCTTGTCTGTCAACTCTTATCCTGTATGATTTTTGTTTAATTTTTATTGTTTAGCTGGCAAGCAGAGACTCCATTTTGTGCGCCATGGTATTGGTGTGCAGGTGTTGGAACCTGCTAAGCCAAACCCCAAGCCACCAGAACCTGAAAACTGGACAGAAGTATGGGCGGGGGCGGGGAGGCAAACAGCTACATCCTCTCTGCAAGCTCTGCCCCAGTGCCAAGTCATGGTGGGGACCGTTTGAGTATGATGGGAGGGAAGGAGAACTGGAGGCAGAAAACAGTCTCCTGGGAGACGAGGCACTAGGAAAGATGCCTCGACTTGGCTTCATAGAATCCCCAAAGCAGCCCCAGGACTAGTTGGAGGTTAAGAGACCTCTGGATCCATAAACTAGGCCTGGAGGCCACAAAGCCATCCTTTCGACTCTGCAGTTGGCCAGTCCCAGCTACTAGCTCGACCTCACAGCTGGAAGACGGAAGATTCTTCGTCAGGCCCAGTTCCAAGTCCCAGTTCATGCTATGCCACTAAAGCACCCTGACCTTGGCCCAGTCCCTTCTGCTTTCTGGCACTCTGATCCCCATGTGTCATGCCAGGGACAGACCCAGAACTCATCCTCCTTCAAGATACTCCATGGTGGGGCCGGAGCCATGGCTCAGCAGTTGAGTGTACATTTCTCTTGCCTAGAACCCAAGCTCAGTTCCCAGTATCCAGGTCGCGGTAGCTCACAATCTCCAGTGCCAGCTCTGGGGGATCTGATGCCCTCTTCTGGCCTCTGCAGGCACTGCACTCACATGCATGCACATGCCTGCACACAATTTAAAAAAATAAACATAAACATACAATGTTTCAAAGAAAGAAAGACACCACAATTGGAAAAACATTCGGGGGGGGGGAGGGTTGTAATTGCAAGGGCCTGAGATAACAAGGCTCAATAAATGGCTGCTTGCCCATCTGTAGCCTTCCCTCTGTACTTGAACATACCACTATCACCTAGGGGACCTCTGTACCTCATTACCCACAATGACCTAAAGCCTCATTCTCCCTTGATTTCTTGGCTCAGAGTGAAAGACTGTGTGTGATTGAGTCAGGGTAGTCAGGACTGTGAACAAAGCCAAGTTTACTCTGGGCTCTGGCTACGTGGCTAGGCTAGCTATCTTCAGTAGCACTGAAGATGTCACGTCTACCTGTAACAATGGCTCTGCCCTCTTGGTTTGCCTTTGTCTGCCCTCTCCCGTTTTCCTGGAAGGTGCACCCAGGCCCTGATAGGGCCAGAGAGAGAGAGAGTAAATACTCTTGTCTAATCTTCCCCGGTGTGACCCCAATGATGGCCCCACCCTTGGCAGGTCCTGCTTCCTACATTCCCTCTCATCAGTACCTGTCCCAAGGCCTATGTCTGGCAGACACTGGAACAGAGAAGGGCGTGGCCTTTTCCAGGGGCCTGTCCTGTTTCTGAGCCAGATCCCTGCAACAAGGTCCTCAAGAAGCACGTGTGGTCTCCTTCCCTCTCTAGGGTACTCAAAGCTCCAAGGATGCTCTCGAGCAGCAGAGGCAAGAAGCCCTGGACTTCAGCTTCGTCTGAGCTGCTCAGCTCAACCGTGGGTTCCCCCAAAGAAAGACTACAATGTGTTTCCAACCCTGTGACATGATGTCATTTCAAAGTTCACACCTAAGAACTGTATGGTTGAGTAACAACACAACAAAACCACACACAAAGTCTTGTAATATTTTGAGTAAGTTCACAATTTTGTGTTGGCTGCATACCTCATAGGACATCCGGCTCCTGCTGGCAAAGTCCAGAAGAAGACTTTATGAGCCAGCGCCATACTAACATAGGAGAGGAAGAAATGCTGTGGGCTGCCAAACTGGGCGTGGTCCAGTGCTAACCTGTACCACCTGCGGCTTCCTGCTGCCAGTTCAGCTGCAGCTGCCCCTGTGGTCCTTGGTCCCTTGACTCTCTCCTGCTGCTCCAAGGTTGTGGATCTAGTGATACAGATGTGAGGCTGGAACTGAGGAGACAGGCAAAGAACCTCAATGTGGGGCAACTGCAAACCCCTAAGAGCTACCCATATCATTGAGAATCTGTCTTCCCTTCTCAAGGCACTGAGCATCTATCCCCTACCCCACTCGGGAAAGAGACTGCCCAAGCCCAAAGCCCTGGATTCCAGTATTCTCTGCCTTACCTTCAAGATCCTGGTAAATCACATGTCGCAAGTCTCAGTGTTCCCTCTTCCAAAGAAAGGAGATGGACCTGGGAAATAAATATCAGTCACTCACAACCAAGAGCCAACGCTGACTAGTAATACATTTGGCTGAAGAGAATCTATATCACTCAGGACCCTGTGGCTCTATCCAGAGGTCAGGAGTGCTGGGATCAACTGGTGATGTCTGCTTAGCACTCAGGATGAAGAAGGCAGACAAGCTGCCACCCACCCAAATTACAACCTACCTGCCACCAAGAACCAAAGAACCCTTGTGTTCCATGGGACACTGTGCCACTTAGATTCTATGAGATGCCATGAAGCAGAAGTTACCATTGGGAAATTTGAGGACTCTTCAATAGAAACTTGATCCAGGGGACAAGTCACCTCCCTTAAAGGATGGAAAACAGGAAGAGGACTCTGAGTTCCAGGCATACCAGTGAGGGGCAGGTGAATTTTAAGATGAGAGGTGTTCTAGGTGTCCAGGGCTTTTGAGGTGACCTCAATACCCAGAGTCATCAAAGAGCCACTGGCTGCAGCCGTCCCCTTTCCTGTCTCACAGGAGCAGCCACTGACTCAGGCTGCCTCATATGAAGCAGGAATTGGAGCACAAAGAATTAGATCCAGCCTCCAGCACCCATGTCCCAGAAGACACACATGGGAAGACCCCTCGTAGGTGCTGCTGCAGTCTGAGGTCTG